TGGGCCGGGAGCTGCGAATGCGTGGGCTGAATTTGTTATTTATCCCCCCTTTGTAAATTGTTAATGCCACGAGGGTAGAATATTGTGGAGGGAAGAGATGGCGTCTGGAATATGGAGACATCCGTTATTACCACATTTCCATGCAATGTTGGGTTCTTTTTTTAACACTGTTTAACTGTCACATGAGCACTGCGAATCCTCTCACTGTTTGGTTTTTTTTTTTCCCCCGTCCTTTTTTTTTTTTTTTTTTGGTCCATGTGTAGAAGAGTCCTTATTGACACTGGGGAGCCAGCTACTCCTGAATATATTGGCTGGTTTAAAAAGGCATTTAAAGCAGGCACTGTCAGAGTTCAGCATCTCAATTCAAGAAATTTTAGTGACACACTGGCATCACGATCATACTGGTGGAATACCTGATATCTGCAAAAACATCCCTAATGGTAGGCCAACAATTTTGGATATTGTTGAAAATGTTAGATATGTGGCAAGAAAAAACTTTTACTGAGTGCTTCTGTGCAAATCAGCTGGATTATTCTTCTGGAATCTACATGTAATTTCATGATACTGTTGCAGTGTGTAGAATGACAGCAATGAATAATCTGAATATTTGTAGTTGTAGTACTGCAGTTTTTCTTCAATAACTGTGCATACCCTCATAGTGAGTTTTTCTTATGTGTGAATAACAAGAACCTAGATTACCATCATCAGTTTACATGATATTAAGAGATGTGAGAAAAGCTTGATACTCATTCCTTTCTACATTGACAGTAATGACAAACTGACCGTTATTTTCACTTGTATAAAAACAATAAATAATCTCTAAAAAAGAAACATGCATAACTGAGATTTCTTACATCAGACCATTAGTAATTGGTGACAAATTTCTAGGCCTCAGATCATGAGGGGGAAGAGGGTAGGGCAGTCAGTTTGCAGGTGAATTCTGATCTAAAGATATGTATTCCATGTTGATAAATAGTAAGAGACATTTTTGCTTTAGTATCTGGGAAGAGAGTAAACAGTACGGATCATGTGGTTCTTCTTAGCATCATTGGACTTTGTCACAAGCTTTGTCACAGGCTTTAACAGATCTTGTAAAGTTGCCAGGTGCTTATCTGCAAAGAAGCCTGGGAACTACTGAAAACAGCACGGGTGTCTTTGTGAGGATTTTGGTCTTGTCAGCCCATGAGCGTGGTTGTAAAGACTAGCAAAGGATATAAATACCTTTCTGGGTTGCTATCCGTAGCTGTTCCAGCCAAGGCATTCACAGTTCACACACAGTTCAGAACAACAGATGCTGAGGGAAGTTGCAGGTCAAAAAACCTCCATCCAGTGTTAGGCAAATGCTGAATGGTGCTTCTGTGAATCATAATGCACAACACGAGTGCAGAAATCTTAGTGGTGGTGTAGAAACTTGGGGGTTTTGGCTCTTGATGAGTCAAGAAAGAACATTCGTATAATATAATAATAATTACTGACATTTCTTTATTAGTTTCACTGGTGCTTTTTCTTCTTCAAAATTGCTGCTGGTGCAGAGGGTACAGTATTCAGATTCAGTGGCTTTCACTATTTGGTCTTTGTGGCTCTGGAATAAGGTTGCTTCATAAACATAAATTTACTGTACAGAATTTCTAGTTTTGTATCATACTGTGTAATAATTAACAGTACTTGTTCAAAAAGTAGCCTTTCTGTGGAATTAGCTTTGTTAGCGACAAATTCGAAACATAATTTTCTTTGCTTAAACAGACTCTGAATATCGCATCTGCAAGCTTCCTCGTGTCCCTCACTGTGAAGAAATAATAGAAGGAGGACATAAATATTTTTATCTTAAAGAGGGAGATGTGGTACAGACAGATGGAGCCACACTCAGGTAAACACCGATCTCTGAAAGTTTGCTGGACCACTTTTTTCTTCAGAATTCTGACACACATTTGTATCCTAACTTCTAATGACTGGCAATCCATACATCTAATCTTGTCGGCACTGACACATGTAGACTTCCTATCCCGATCCAGCAGGGTATGTTTATACAAAGAAATTGTTTTTATGAATGAGGATTATCAGGAATTAGCCTTTGGTTTTTGACCTCAGCAGAGAAATTAAGGACATTTCCCTTGAAAAATATTTCCTCTGGGAAAATCAAATAGGATTTTACATACTTTCTCATCACTCTTAGATAAGTAGCTTATTATTAAAGTTGATGACTTTGGGGGAAGTTTATGGTAGTCTGGATGTATTTTTTAGCATGCCTTTCTTTTTACTCTAAAAATATTTCCCAAGGAGACACTAAAACATTTAATACTTAAAATGCTAAATTTTAAACCTTTAACCTGTCAGATTCTTGTAGGATCCCAATCTCGGAGGGCTTCTTCCCCGAGAGCATATTGCCTGTCTTCTCAGCATGAATGAGTCTGAAACAGAAAGCCACTCTGCCTCACACAAACACACACACAAAATAAAAAGAGCTGACCATTCTGTTTCCAGAGTTCTTCCGTTAACAAGGCATTACTCTTCTAAGGACAAATTTTGCTTGCTTTCCTCAGTTTAGGTGTGAATTATATCCCACTTGTAGAATATGCTTGCTGGCTAATTGGAAGAAAAAATGTAAAAATGAAGGCTATATTTGACCAAAAGCATTTTATTTTGTTAGTGTAAAAAAAAGACCAAACAAAAACATGGAGAGTATTAGACTGAATATTGAAGACCTGTCACTTCCCTAAGTGGCCCACATTTGGACAAAATCAGTTTAGAGATGGAAAACAACTTCTTAAATTTGAATCCAAGTAAGACAGGGGTGGTACATTTTGAAGTTTGGGACAATGCAGCCAAACTTTATGCTTGGTTAAAACAGGTATTCTTTCACCTGGTTAATTCAGTAAGCACTTTAAGGATACTCTTAGGCCCACCACTGTTTCCAAAATAGCAGTATCTGCATGTTAAATTTTAGTTAGCAACCTTCAAGTTTTCAAGGTGTGCCAGGCAGTGTTCGGTTCTTTTCCTTTGTTTTTCCATGTTAGTGGTTGAGGTTCCTGGTAAAGTTTCATCAGGAACTGGAGGATGCCACTTCTTACAAAAAGGCAAGAAGCAACCCATCAGCTTGATTTTTATGTTGCCGCCACAGGGCAATGGCTTACCTACTTTCTGCTGAATTCAGTGTTTCCAAAGAGCTGGAAGTCATTGCATCAGATGGTGCTGTGCTTCAGGCCTCCCAGCCCTGCGCCGCTGCGGCGAGGTGCTGTTTAGCACTGCCCGGTACCCCATGCTTGGCACCAGCTCTGTCAGTTCCTGATCACTGCTTTGGTGCAGCTGCCGTGAAGAAGAAGATTCTGATGAATTTCAGCAGTGATGCTGGTCTGAGTGTGTACTTTCAGGTGGAATCAACCACAGCACGAGGCCTTCTGCCTTTCAAAAATAGTAGTGAAAGGACACTGCAGTGCAGCTCGTCAGGAGCTCAGGTTACTGTATACATATCAGCTGTCCGTTCACCCTTTGCCGCGTTCTAATTCAGTACTCATTCAAGCTGTGGGGTCCTAAATCCTTACCATTCAGATGTTTAATGACCTGCACACAGAACAGCTAAAAGACCATGATTCCTTGTTCTGTCTGACAGCTTGGCTCCACTGTGTCATGGGGCTTTGAGGGAAAAACAAATTTTGGGAGGCAGAACTTTATCTGGGTTGGGTCCAGAAGTTCATAGTTAATTTCTAAAAGAATTGGCAACATCATCCTTACCCTCTTTTGCGAAGTGCAAGGTGTATGTCAAGAACTTCACACATTTCAATCTGGAAATAACATGTCAATTCTTTTTTTTAAAGCTTCAGAGTAAAGCCCTCTATAACACAAATTCTACATGACTAGCCAGCTCCCTTTATGCACCATTATGATGATGTGTCATGTAAGTAAAAGCATGTTAGTGGTGATGATCTGTGTTCTCTATGTGGTATAAGAAAATGGACTGGGATTAGACAAAGTGATACCCTGTTTACATCAACATTTCAGCCTCTTCTGGTCTATTTTTTTCTGGTTCTTGTTGTTGGCTACTTTTTAAGTGTATGATTTTATCATTGTTTGTTTCTAGCTTCTGAAAATGAAGCATATATGCTGTGTGAAAACCTATGCTTTTTTGTTGTTGTTCTTTGTAAACAGAGTTTTATATACGCCTGGACACAGTGATGATCATATGGCCTTACATCTAGAAGAAGAAAATGCTGTATTTTCTGGTGACTGTATTTTAGGGGAAGGAACAACAGTAATTGAAGACCTGTATGATTACATGGAAACTTTGAGAAGGTTGTTACAAATGAAACTAGATTTAATATATCCAGGTAAGTGGTGCTATTTTTAACTACTCTCATTTACTATATAATTTTAAAATATCTCCTCTAAGAATTTTTGAACTCTTATTACAATCAAACACCATTACTAATGTAACAGTTCAAGTTCATTATTTAATATATGTCCAGTGCTAAGCTGAGATGACTTCATGGCGTGGTGGTTTGCAAGACTTGAAAATTTTTCAGTGATGGATATCTTTCCTTCTTGAGATTTCTCCATTTGAGGGTGAATCTTGTACTTCTGTGCCCAAAGCCTACAGAGGCCAGAATCCTTCACTGTTGGAATTGTACAGCAGATTTCATTTTCTTACACTACTCTATCCATGCAGCTTAATGTTACCCTGGAATTAAAAATAATAGTTGTACTTTTGGTCCTGCCAATGTGAGTAACCTAGTAATGGTTAGTAATGGTGAGAGAAATGTCTGTCCTTTGCAGCACAGATTAATCACAAATTCATCTTGGAAAGCTGCAGAACTGTCAAATGGCTGTCTTAGTTAATGACTTAGCTTAAATTTGAACAAGAGCCAAGAGGCCAAACATGATGTTCTAAAAATAAGTCGCCGATTCATTCACTCTGTGACTTTGCTTTCATTTTTTTCCTGTCTCCCCCGAACCTCAAGAATGCATTTACCTTTCATATAAACCACATGTCTATTTGACAAGACTGGATTTTAAGCATTCATTATGTAACTAAGCTTTAAGCTCCTCATTTGCTTTTTTCAGACCTACATCTCAGGGTTTTTTCTGACTTTTTCTGTTTCATCTTCTTCAACTTGTCATTCTGAGCAACTTGTGTCTACATTCTCAGTTCTGTCTTCCTCCATTAGCCATCTATGTTTAGCCTACATAACCAAATCTCTTTTGTGTTCATTCTTAAAATATGCTTCTTTTGAAGAAAGTGTGCTTTCAGTGCTTTAAGATCTAAGCATAAAAAAGCTATTTAAGAAAAATATCATTATAGATATCCTATGGATGTGGAGGCTGACATAGACAGAAACAGTGACTTGCTCATAGTTATTGACTTAACTACTGGGAAAACTAAGAATATTTTAGCCTCCAGAATCTCAATCTATTGATCAATCGGATGTTCTGCTTTCTTAAATATCTACAAAACACAGTCTGTTCCTCTAATTGAATTTCTGCCTTCCAAAACTCCATATATGCCAAATTCTATTGGGTTTATCAGTTTTATCAGTTGTATTTCACTCTCTCCTTAATCATTATTTAGCTAGATTACACATTCACCAGGGCTGAATATTTGTCCCTTTTATCAGTAACTGTTTCCTACACTGTTTTAAGTATGTTCATGCTGTACTTGCAATTAGGAAGTCAGGCAAATATTATGTGTTTTCAGTGATGACTAGCTAAGTATTGAGATGGTTTGGAACTAGCTTGCTTTCTTTATCCAAGGATCACAAAATGTATGGGCAGTCGTGTAAAAGATAACTTTTGAGAAATCAGAACAATTGTTTATACTATGTGCTACAGTAAAATGGGAACCATAGCAGAAGGTAGTTTGCTTTACCAATACACTGCATATAAGCTCAGTACTTTGCCTTTATTGCAGTTTTAGGTCTTCATAATTCTTGAACTGTTTCTCTGTTCTCCATCCATGCTTTAGCACTCTCATTGCAGCCTCAGAAGTAGACATAGGGGAGCATGAATTTTTGTAACAAGCTGACTGCTGGCTAGGTGTGAGTAGCTGAATTTTGCCAATCCTTCCCCTTCCATGTTTCTTTTTTAATTTAATGTGGAAATTACTTCAGACAGAATACTCATGACAGTCTATTTACAGCAAATAGTTGATGAGAATCCTTGGGACCAGAAAAGGGCGTTTTAAGTCAGCAGAGGGCTCCCAATCCTGTAATAATAAACTATGTTCCTTGATAATATAGAAAAAAATGGTACTGGAGCTATGAATCTGTGCAAGACTTCATGAGCCAATTATTTTCTTCTGTTTCATCCTTTGTGCCTTAATTTCTCACATGTAAAGTAAGAGTATATTACTTCACAGGGTGTTATGAGAATGAAAACTTACTGTTTCTGATCATCCGGGCTATACAGAGGTCTGAAATAATATGAAGCTGTCTGATATAAAGTCTGACTTATTGGAAAGATGGTCATATTTTGAGAGATCTATTGCACATGCTCAGAAACATTTTACATTTATGCAGGTATTAATTTACTTATTGGTGAAGTTAACTGTGTTGCTGTCCCTGAAAAATTATGGATGGGAAACATCCACATCTGGATTTAGTTCCAAGCTTTCTGACATCATTTTAATGTATGTATATGCATACACAATGGCTATGGATCAGATGATCTTATGGATATGAAATGCCTACAACTTTGCAAAGCGTGGGTTCCATTCCAGGTACTGACATTGGTCTTGTAGCCTAAGTCAATTAAATCACTTGGAAGAGCAGGGACTGGTTTTAAGACTGCCATGTGATTCCATGTGCAGGCCCTAATTTTGAATACTTCAACGTGACTTCTGTCATTAGAGAATGCAAGAGAATGGACAGTCACTGTTACAGTCTCTGCTCTTGTCATGGTTTAACCCAGCCACAGATGCTTCAAGGTGTACCCTCTCCGATGTGGACTTACCCTTGGGCCACAATCCTTTTAAAGGTATACCTGCTGTGGCACAGACATAACGATGGCCAGAGACACTTTAAGATATACCTGCTCTGGTGTGGACTTATTCACAGCCACACCACCGCTTCGGGGTGTCCTGCTCCTGCATGGACTCATCCCCAGGTCACAGTTCTTCAACTTGAGTTCACACCGGAGTTCCAGCCCGTCCACTACAGCAGCACAGAAACAGCAGTGATGCCCTGGCCATCAGCCAGCCCAGGTGCATCGCCATGGCTGTTATCAAAACGTTCCCAGGCACAGCAGAGTGAGATGATCAGCAGCTCAGCAAGCAGCAAGAGCGAATAGCAGCCACTAACGAGCACCAGACTCTAATATACAGTAAGGCAAGCAAGCCCCAGGGCAAGCACAGGAGCCTGTCAATTAATAGTTAAACAGCAATAACAGCTATAAATTTGATCTAGCACATTCCAATCAAACATGTCATTATCTCGAACCCTTCGAGCCCCACATTGGGCGCCAAAAGATGACTGTTGTGGTTTAACCCCAGCCAGCAACTCAGCACCACGCAGCTGCTCGCTCACTTCCCCCACAGTGGGATGGGGGAGAGAATCGGAAGAATAAAAGTGAGAAAACTCGTGGGTTGAGATAAAGACAGTTTAATACATAAAGCAAAAACTGCACGTGCAAGCAAAGCAAAGCAAGGAATTCATTCCCTACTTCCCATGGGCAGGCGGGTGTTCAGATATCTCCAGGAAAGCAGGGCTCCATCATGCATAACGGTGACTTGGGAAGCCAAATGCCATCACTCCAAATGTCCCCCCCCCTTCCTTCTTCTTTCCCCAGTTTATATACTGAGCATGACGTCGTGTGGTATGGAATAGCCCTTTGGTCAGTTGAGGTCAGCTGTCCCAGGTGTGTCCCCTCCCAGCTTTGTGTGCACCTGGCAGAGCTGAGAGCTGAGAAGTCCTTGACTAGACTAAGCACTACCCAGCAACAACTAAAAGATCAGTGTGTTACCAACATTTCTAGTACTAAATCCAAAACACAAGCAGTGTACCAGCTACTAGGAAGAAAACTAACTCTGTCCCGGCCGAAACCAGGACAGTTCTGTATATTTTAATGTGTTTTTTTCTAAATTTAAACTTTTGGTTTTATAAATGGTAACACATTAACTGGAGATACTGTTACATTTGCAATTTATTTTGTAAGGAATGATAAGCTTCAGATTAAATAAGTTTGAAATTACTAAACAGATGTGCATATGACAGTATAGTTTTATATTTACATGTTATATATCTTTTATTTATAATACTATCTTTACACAAGGTAAGCTTCAATGTATATTTAGTAATTTCAAATGTGCTGAAGTGACTGCATAAATTGAGATATGCATAAATATTTTGACTTGCTGAAGGATAGATTCCCTTGACACTTTTTTACTTCACAGATACCCAAAACATGAAAAATTAGTTGCTCTTTTTCTATAAGCTGCCTGTCCTCAGGCAAAATAAGCTCTAATTTAAAAAGCCTTAAAACTAAAAACCCATTTAGTCAGTTAACCCAAAAGTACCAGTAAAGAATATGATGATTTTTTAAAAATAGTCAGAGAACCTCAAAATAAACTGTTTTGGATGATAGCAAATAACTTATGAAAGAAAGCTGGTTTTTTTACAGTATTTTCTGTTCTACTCATTTTATAAATTACTTGGAGTTTAGACTGGTAGAGCTGGAAGTTGCTGCTGTGACTTCAGATGAGGTATACAGGCAAAGAAATAGGAAACCTTGCTAGGAAAAGCACGTGATGAATATTCATGCAAGTAAATTTCTCTATAGGTAAAAGATTAAGTTTAATTTCTGTGCATGTAACTCTCATGTCCAAAAAATATTTTCATTTCATCTGTCATTTTAGTGTGTCATGAGGCAGTACTTAATTTTTCCACAAAGGTTAGTGTTTTACCAATTAAGCCTTTTTCTAATTTGATGCAAAGACTTCTCAGTAAGTTGAACATTTCTGATCTGCTGCAGTAAGTCAAGGAAAAAACGTGTGTGTTGTTTATTAACCAGCCAGACAAAAAGTGATCCACATATAAGCTTCCTTGTGCATCACTTATTCCTGCCCTGACATGTTCAGTTTGGTTCACTGATTTATCTTCTATTAATTTTTTTGACCATAGAATCATAGAATGTTTTGGGTTGGAAGGGACCCCCAGAGTTCATCTAGTCCAACCCCCCTGCAGTGAGCACCATACTTATGGAAGTATGTTCATAGGGAAATAAAGTACAGTTGTGTGAGTGAGTTTTGAAGATCTGTCCTGGAAAATTTGTCTGTCATAATTAAAGACGTTACTTCTCCTGCCTCTGCATTTGCTAGATAGCCCCACAACAGGGCAGTAGCACATGAGTCCTTTGCCTCAGCCACTGCTGTTCAAAGACTAGTATCAGTTTAAATCATCAGTATCAATATCCTTTGGGGAGAGTGAGACAGGCAGACAGAGGTGATGTAATAATCTGAACCTCATCTTTAAAATCTGTTCAGCAGTGGACTCCTTTCCTTTTTTTTTTTTTTTTAATAGCCTCAAATAGTCTGTCCTTGCTTTCCTTATTCCAGCTGAAGTATTCCCTTTCTCCATTCAGACTTTGCAGATCCTAATTCTTCTTTTCCATCTTAATGTTTTTCAATTGCAGACTCTGATGTAGACATTCAAACTTAATTTTGGCCTATTTATATGAAAAACAAACAAAAAAACAAACCAAAAAACATTCAAGAGTATCTTACAATTTAATATCAAGGATACTCTGACAGGGTGGTATGTACAGGTGCTGCTCTCTTCTTTCAAATTTTAAGTTTACCAGAGTTTACATAAGAATGATTCAATTATTCAATAGCATACTTAATTCCAAATTTAAGTAATAGCACTCTGCTACATGTGTTTTGATTTAGGTCATGGCCCAGTAGTACGTGATGCAAATGCTACAATCCAAGGCTACATTTCTCACCGAACTGCACGTGAACAGCAAATTCTAAATGTTTTACAGAAGAATGCTGGAAAATCATACACATCCTCGGAGCTTGTAAAGATAGTATACAAGGTAATTGTTGGTTAGAAGTTTTTAGATCGAACTAAAGAAAATTGAGGTTATGTTCAGAAAGTTGCATGTAATAGTTTAGGTATTTGAGTGAAGATTGAGATGACTTTTTAAAAGAGGGACAAAAAAAAAGAAAAGATTTCTGCTTGTTCAGAATCCGTATAGGACCCTGCATTTAAATTGTATTGTTTGAGCAGTTCATTGGAGTGGGGCCCAGGTGATTCTTACGAACTTCTTATTTCACTATCTAGATGGTCCTAAGCACTGTTTCATAGAACCAAGCAAAGATAAAGTTTTTGTAGTGCTTGATTCCAAGTGAAAGGTATGAGATGACTGTTAACTTTTGATTTGTCAAAGTGTGTTTGGAGTCTCCTTAAAGATTGGTTAAAACTTCTGGTTCCTGATTCTGCAGGAGGGTGCAGGTGAACTGCAGTTTCACAGAGATGGATATTGCACTCAGAAGTTAGGTAGCTTGCATGTGTCATTAGACAGGCATAAGAGTACTTTTTCAGTATTTCATCGTTCTTCCCATAACCTCAGTAATCTGTACATGTGGTATGGGGGTTGCCTCTCCTAGCACGTAGAGATAAAAGAGATACAGCATTTGCTTCAGAGGAAGATGTTGAAGTTGCCAATGGCTGTGGTTTGTGAACAGGTCTGTAACAGCTTCACAACTCATTTTTCATGCTTCTGCTGTTCCCCAGTTTCCAAAAGAATGACAATGTCACATAGAATGTTTTGGGTGGCTGTTCAGCTCCTGCAGTTTTCCTGCCTGAACAACTACATCTTTTAAGTATACAGCCATTCACATGCTTCTGTAAATCACAAACCACTTGTCCTGTCACTCTATAAGAATTTTTTCAGTACTACTTAAAGCTTTCTTATTAAAAAAAAAAGTATAATCTTTCAAAGCTTTTTAAAGATTCACAATTTATTGACCTAGTTTTCTAGTGAGTTTTCCTGCCAGACTCATGTTATTTGGAGAACTTTTTCATTTTCAAAAAGAAGGCTTTACTTTTAGGAAGATAGTGCTGGAGAGGGGAAATTTGAGAAATGTTACTGTTTTTTACCTAATG